CTTTCATGGTGAACTGCAATATGGATTGTAACAACGTAAAAAAAGAAGTATGATGGGATAACTGGTTTTAGTGCTCTATTTAAGTCATATCAGAAAATTTAAATATGCAAAGTATTACCATTACTTTTTTAAATCAATTATCTCTTGGAATTTAGACATTACAGAAATGTGTGTTGTTCATGTTACAAAAAACATCCCTTCTAATTCCACCATGTGTGTTCCAGTATGCTACAAATTACGATACTCTAAATGCTGAAGCCCTCAATGCCAGCCTGAGGCTGTACCTGAATCAGATGAGTTAAAGACTCAACTTTGTCTGCCATTAAGAGCTGCTGGCACTGACACTGTACTAAGTAAAACCTCCATTGAAGAAATATTGAAATCAACTCAAAGTCAAACTGTGTGTAACTTTATTTCTGCCAGTGTTGTAACGCTGGTTGATTGACTGCAGGGGGCAGACTGAGCACATCCACTATTATTACATAATTTAAAAACAATATGTTTAATATATTTTGATCAGAAAAACCCGTGTCCTTTATACATGATAAATAATCTCTGCAGACACATTGAGTGAGATCATGCCTCAGAGCACAGCTGTCACCTCATCTTACAGACTCTTTTCATAGTTGTGATTGTGGTTCTGCTGCTGTTCTTCACTGATAGTAAGTCAAAGCTAGACCAACTAACTCGTGTTGCCATGAAGCGGAAAATAGTCCATGCAATTGTGAAAAATAGAGCAATAAAACCAATTATCCCATCATACTTCTTGTAGTTAATGAAAAACTTACTGATTCATTCATTTTGCTGGTCTCAAGAAATGAACTGGTTGATCTGTTGTTTCTACAAATACCTTTTTATACTCCTTCTTGTCACTTTGAACATACGTGATAAACATCAGCTCTGCTCTTACTGCCGATCACACTGTGGTTTGTGAAAGTCATAATCTACCGAAACGCCTGCCTGACCTCATCTCTCAACCTGACCTAATTTTCTCCCAACTTAAAACCATGTGTCAGTCCAATCACACGCCTCACCTCTAACTTGCTGATCTCAAACGTGTGGATGTATGAGATGTGCAACCCAACCACAGCATTGTTATTTCTACATTCATAGATTATGTGGTTATTTTCTCTTTATTGAAGTGTGTATTGCTCCTATCATGTGTTGGGTTTAAGGTCTCTTTGCGTTTTATGTAGTTGAAATAAATATATTTGAAATAATAAAGAAAAACTTTATTTGTGATAAGAAAAAAACTGAATGAAATGACTGCTGGATAATGAATCGCAGGGATCAGAGTTTTACAGTTGTTAACCGGCGTTACTGCAAAGTATCACAGGTTGGGTCTCTGACCCAGTGCTCTGAGTTCATTTGGTATTTGTCTCAATTGTGATTGGTTCATGTGTCATTCCTATTTAGCTTTTAGTTGAGGTTAAAGGCAGTCATTTATTGTGTCCTTGGTTTCTGTGTTTGGTTTCTTGTATCGTTCATCACGTGTTAGGTCTGTTAAGATCTGTTTTCATGTCTAGTTTCAGTGTTTCCTGTTCACTATATTTAGTTTCACTTCCCCTGTCATTAGACTCATGTCAGTCAGCTGTTACCCCGTCTGTTCCCATTTCCCCTATTCACCTCCTGTGTGTTTAAGTCCTCTGTTTCCAGGCCAAGGTTTCATGTCACGTTTTCTCATGTCAGGTCCATGTTCCTGTTTTAGGTTTTTATTTAATTTAACTCACTCGGTTTATTGTTAGTCTTGCCTTTTGCCTTTTGTTTGCAGTTATTTTGTCAGCCTCAATAAATGACTCTTTTTGGTTATTCAAGTCAAGTTTTGTTTCATCTGCATTTGGGTCCACCTTTCACACTACACACAGCCCCCGCCCTGCTGATTGTGACACAAAGGCTGATTTACTGGTTTTCAGGTCTAGCAATATGGAGTTTTGATCCTGCCTCAGACTGAGCATTTTTGTGTAGTTTGTATCATGTTTGTCGTGTTTAGCATGAGTTTTATCCGTCATGTCTCTGTGTTTGGAGATTACTTGCACCTCCATTCAGTTCCTCAGTGCATAGCCCAGTCTTCCTCTTTATTTTTGCAGAAGCATCTCTGTAGCTGTGTTGTGGTAACTTTTCTCTGAGGTGCTTCCCTAATTTTGTCTTTCTGTTTGTTACCTGGTTGTGTGGTTGTTTTTGGAGCATTGTTTCCTCTTCAATAATATATCGATCATATTTAGGCACTGAAAACGGTTCATGTGTTTTGAAACTACTTGGTTAATTTTTGAAAAATAAATTTTAAAATAGGAGTCCTGATTGTTGACAAATTGAGTATCACTAAAGACTATAAAGTATATCCAGTGTTGGAAAGGTTACTTTTAAAAATGTATTCCATTACAGAATACAGAATACATGCCCCAAAATGTATTCTGTAACGTATTCCGTTACGTTACTCAATGAGAGTAACGTATTCTGAAT